TCTGAAGAAAATTATCTTGAATGCTTATGGAGCAATGTCTTAATAAATAAAGCAGAAGATTACTAGTTGGTGTATACTACAGAACACCAGTTCTCACTTGGGAACAGGGTGACTGCTTCCTTGCACATCTATCTGCAACGTATAGGGAAAAAACCTGTGTGATCATGGGGGAATTAAATTTGAGTGACATATGCTGGAGGTCTCATGCTGCCAGTAGTAAAATATCATTGGAAATTCTAAACATAATAGATGACAACTTTCTAACTCAAAAAGTATTGAAACGAACACAAAGGAATTCTATATTAGACTTTGTTCTAACAGATAAAGAGGAAATGATCACAGAAAATTAATGGTAATTAAGGTACAAGTGATCATGACTTGATCATATTTGAATAATGTATATATATAGTGCTTTAAGAGGGCCAATTTCACAAAGCTGAAAACAATTATGAGCCAAATAAGGTGTGAGGAAGAATTTACTCAGAAAAAATGTGAATGATAATTGGGGACTTATCCTATATAACTAACTTGATATCTTTTTTTGACAATAGTACAAATTTAGTTGATAAAGATAACAGTGGTGATGTAATATACATAGACTTCTCTAAGGCATTCCACTTTGTACAGCATGACATTTTGTTAAAAAAGCTAGAACGATATAAAATTAACATTGCACACATTACATGGATTAAAAACTGACTAACTGATAGATCTCAAAATGTAGTTGTAAACAGGGAATCGTCATTGAGGGTGGTTGTTTCCAGTGGCATCCCACAGGGATCAGTTCTTGGTCCTATGCTATTTAATGTTTTTATCAATGACCTGGAAGAAAACATAAAATCAACTGAAAAAGTTTGTAACTGACACAAAAATTGGGTGGGTGGTAAATAATAAAGAGAGCAGGTCACTGATTCAAAGCAATCTGGATCACTTGGTAAACTGGGAGCAAGCAAACAATATGCATTTTGAAATGGTTAAATGTATGCATCTAGGAACAAAGAATGTAGGCCATACTTACAGGATGGGGGATTCTATCCTCAAAAGAGGTGACTCTGAAAAAGAGTCATGGTGGACAATCAGCTGAACATGAGCTTCCACTGTGATGCTGTGGCCACAAGGGCTAATCCGATCATCAAGTAGAAATAAAGAGGTTATTTTACCTCTGTATTTGGGACTGGTGTGACTGCTGCTGGAATACTGGTGCCCACAATTCAGGAAGGATGCTGATAAATTGGAGAGGGTTCAGAGAAGAGCCACAAGGATGATTAAAGGATTAGAAAACGTGCCTTATACTCACAGACTCAAAAAGCTCAATCTATTTAGCATAACAAAGGGCAAGGAGTGACTTGATTACAGTCTGTAAGTACCTACATGGGCAACAAATATTAAATAATGGGCACTTCAATCTAGCAGCGAAAGGTATAACATGATCCAATGCCTGGAAGCTGAAGCTAGACAAATTCAGACAAGAAATAAGGCATACGTTTTTAATGGTTAGAGTCTCCATTACTGACAATTTTTAAATAAAGATTGGATGATTTTCTAGAAGATCTGCTCTAGAAATTATTTGGGGGAAGTTCTCCGGCCTGTGTTATACTGGAGGTCAGACTAGATGATCACAATGGTCCCTTCTAACCTTTGAATCCATGAATCTATGAACACTGGGGACAAAGTGCTCCCAGACTGATTGGCAGCCAGGGAGAGACTGAGTGGACTAAAGACACCTTATGACGTACAATTACCTGGCAATTAGAGGTGAGTAAGCCTAATTTCAGTTCCAGGCAAATTGAAACTACAGTAAAGAACAGAATTATCAGAAACATAGATTAATATGATTTGTTGGGGTAGAATCAATATGTCTTTTGTAAGGGGAAATCATGCCTCACCAATTATTAAAATTTGTTGAGGACCTCAGCAAGCATGTGCACAAGGGCGATCCAGTTGATATAATGTACTTGGACTTTCAGAAAGTTTTTGACAACGTCCTACGCCAAAGGTTCTTAAGCAAAGTAAGCAGTCATTGGAGAAGAGGGAAGGTCTTCTCATGGATCAGTAACTGGTTAAAAATCAGGAAACCAAGGGTAGAAATAAGTGGTCGATTTCCACAATGGAAAGTGGTAAATAGAAGGGTCCCCAAGAACCTATACTGGGACCTGTGCCATTCAAACATATTCATAAATGATCTGGAAAAGAGGGCTAACAGTGAGATGGCAACATTTGCAGATTATGCTAAATTATTCAGGATAGTTATGTTCAAAGCTGACTGTAAAGAGTTACAAAGGGATCTCACAAAACGGAGTGACTAAGCAACGAAATGGCAGATAAAATTCAGCGTTGGTAAATGCAAAGTAACTCACACTGGAAAACATAATCGCAACTATGCATACAAAATGATAGGGTCTAAATTAGCTGTTACCAGTCAAGAAAGAAATATTGGAGTCATTGTGGATAGTTTCCTGGAAGCATCTGCTCAATGTACAGCAGCAGTCAAAAAAGCTAACAGAGTGTTAGGAACCATTAGGAAAGGGATAGATAATAGGAGAGAAAATATCATAGTGCCACTATATAAATCCATTGTATGCCCACACCTTGAATACTGTGTGCAGTTCTGGTCACCCCATCTTAAAGAATATATATTAGAATTGGAAAAATACAGAGAAGGGCAACAAAATTGATTACGGGTACGGAACACTTTCAGATGAGGAGAAATTACAAAGATTAGTACTGTTCATTTTAGAAAAGAGAGAACTAAGGGGTAATATGATAATGGTCTATACAATCATTAATAGTGTGGAGAAAGTGAATAGGAAAATTTATTTACTCCTTCATGTAACACAAGAACCAGGGTCACCCAATGAAATTAATAGGCAGCAGGTTTAAAACAAACATAAGGAAGTACCTCTTCACACAATGCACAGTCAACCTGTGGAAGTCATTGCAGGGGATGTTGTGAAAGCCAAAAGTATAACTGGGCTCAAAAAAGGATTGGGTAGGTCTATGGAGGCTAGGTCTACCAATGGCTATTAGCTAAGATGGTCAGGAACATAACCTCATGCTCTGAGTGTCCCGAAACCTCTGACTGCCAGGAGCTGGGAATGGACAACAGGGGATGGATCAGCTGACAACTGCCCTGTTTTATTCATTTCCTCTGAAGCATCTGGCACTTGCAACTGTTGGAAGTCAGGAAACAGGGCTAGATGGACCATTGGTCAGACCCAGTATGGCCATTCTTATGTTTTTATGAATCTGAAATGGAGCTGTCAGCTGCAGAGAGGATAGCAGCCCATTAGGGTAAAGAGACTTCTTCCCACAGGAAACTGAAGCAGGGCAGTACGATAGAACAGCCCCTACCTCCTCCAAAGCCTCCTGCCTCCAAGGTATGATATTGTTTATCAAATTAGCCCATCAAAGGGATACCACTGCCTAGTAGAGTGAAAGAAAATCTGTTTCAGTATATTTTGTTTGTATTTACCTTTGTATTTACCATAGCTGTTAAAATTCTTATATTATACTATCTTTTTAAAACATACATTTTCATAGTGGGCCTGCAAACCACACAGTCCTTAGTCCTTACTCAAATAACATTCCCATTGACTTCAACAATAATTTTGCCTGAGTGAAGATTGGAAAAAGGCTGTAGGATTTCTCCCACAATTGTTAGTGATGAACTAGCGCAATTTTTTTAAAGATCAAATTTTATTACTAATTTAATACACAAATTATCTTGATTAGATGAACTTTCAGTAAATATATTTATCTAATTTACCATTGTTTTTGTCTGTTGCATGTAAAGAACAGACTTTAAAGTATACCAGTATTTCCTACTCCCTTTCCCTTTAACTGTGTATAGTTCTGCAAGATTTTCCATTTTAGATTAGAGGATTATATTGATTATATTATATACCAAAGATGGTAACTGAAGGCCAGATTTGCAAAGGTTTTAAGATGCCTAAAGAGATCTATTAAGTGCCTAAACAGGATAGTAGACACATAACTCACATTGACTTCAGTGGGGGAGTTAGATGCCTGACCTGCTTAGGCACTTTTGTGTGTGTGTGTCTATCTGCATCTTGAGGCACCTAAATACCTTTATAAATCTGGCCCTGAGACCCTATACTATAACACAGACAATAGCACATAAGATGATTCAATTGCCTATGTTTTCCTTGTATCTATATAGTGTTCTGTTCTTTTAGAACTGTATTATCTGAAGGTGCAGCTGACTTTGTTTCCTTTAAGAACACAAATGGCCCAATTCAGCCACCTTATTCCATGAGTAGTCCCACTGATTTTACTCAGCAAGTAGGGTACAATTCAACATAAATAATTGTGGAAGAATCAGGTTTAAGGAAGCAATCTTGTTACTGTACAAAAAGAAACTAATCCTGGAAATCTTTATTCACAGGAATAGTCCTATTTAAGTCAAATTCCTATCTAAAATCATTGACGTCAATGGCTACTAATGTCCATAAAGAGTTACAGTACCAGATCCTAATCCTTTAATGCTATTAATCCCTTTGCATACCCATATATTTTTAATGCTGTATGAGGATGGAGTTGAAGATGCTCAGCATCTTACAGGACTGAGTACCGTACTTTGTGCATGGTCCTGTGAGCACTTAGTACTAGGTATAATAGTTGAAAACTTAAGTAGTACCACTGACTTCAATAGAAATAGACAATAGAAAGCTCTATGCTCTGTTGTAACTATTTGCAGAATGCAGCCTTATGAGCTAGACTATAAATCCTCTACTCACATTGGCGAGCAGTTTCTCACCAAAACAGTGCCATTGAAGTCATTGTGTGAGTAACTGCTCACCAGTAAGGGGTTCATAATTTGGTCCTATATTTGTAAGACACACACACTGTATACTTTTACAGATACTTAGATTTCTTATATCAGTCTTCTTTATATTACTTCCTTTCTTTAATTCTTGAATGTACAATAAGTAATGTAAAATATAATTGAAAAAGTTAATATGATATGCCATCTTACTTACTATAAGTTTAGTTTGGATTCCATTGCTCATAAATTCTTCTTCTGATATCTTACTAAAATTGTCCAGATAGTGGTCGGATATTGTATGACACAGATCTTCAAAAGAATATTCTTTTTCTTGGCACAGTTTGATTTCATCTAAGAGCTTTGATAACTCTCCAGTCACAGCTTCACCTTTTAAAAAATAGATATAATTAGTCAGAATAATTAGAATTTAAGGGGGATTTTTGTTGCTAAAAAGTAATGCAAAACTTTTGAATCTTGGGGTAGATATAATGGTACTAAGACTATTCCTTCCATTGCATGCCTTATAGTCTATATCTTGACTCTGACGCACAACCCTGAATAAAGGATAGTGTAATGCTCCAAGAGGAGCACTGAGAGGCATTCTACATCCTCTGCTTTCCCTTGTACACTGTGTGCCACTGTGGATGGGGCATTGGCCATGACTCCACCTTCTCTCTGTCCTCTAAGCCTGAAAAACTGCAGCTAGTGAAGAACACCAGCATTCATCTCTAGAATGGAGAACCCGCTATAACCACACAGAATGCTTTGCATTGGCTACCTGTTTATATCTTTGGGCAATTAAGGTGTTGGCTAGGTTCTATAAGATTCCATCTGTCTGTCCCAGGGATCAAACTCTCTGGGATTTGTGACAAGATGTTTTGAAAAACAAATAATACTAGAACCTGCTCCCTATAGCAGTCTAACAAAAATCCAAGTTTGGTGAGTTTCAGGGTAATGCAGGATTAAGGGTTATTAAATTCTTTACTTTGAAGATGTTATTCCTTTTTTAATGGCTGCCTTTAGTGATGCAAGGTCCTCAGCTGATAAGGCCATGGGGACCATGAATTAATTAGGGCCAGCCAGATTCTAATACTCTTACTCATATTGAGTAGTACTTTATTCTGAAAATAGTCCATTGAAATCAGTAGGACCTCTTCCAGAGTAAGGTGCTATTCAGCATGAGTAATAGTATCAGAATCTGGCCCTAAACAAATGTCTTTTGCACTGTATGTACAAAACCATTTCCTTCAACAGGAAGGACCACACTGTAAGTGACCATGGTAAGGGGCCATACAAGAAGTCTCCTTCATTTGCCCAAGTGTGCACAGGTTTCCTTCAGTAGAAGGCCCTTCACTCCCTATGCTCTAGATAAGAGCTAGAGCTATGCATAAGCAGACTAAGCAATTGCTTAGGGCCCCAAGCAGCTCAAGGTGACCCCCATTTGCTTTTTTAGTCTGTGTTGTGTGGCGACCCAAAAAATATTCCTGCTTAGAACCCCCAATAAGCAAACACCACCTCTGCTCTAGCTAGTACAAGGACTGCTCCATTCTGCTCCACCCTGGGGAGTAAGATGCTGAAAAAGAGGGACCTCTCCACCTTCTCACCAGTCCACAGAGTGGTGCCAGTGTACTGAGGAAGAGCAATCTAATCCCTCCTAATGAATGGAGCAGCTTGTACAATGTCTGTGTGCTTTAAGAAGCCTCAGACAGATTGTGCCTGCCTGAGACACAATCTCCTTGATAGGTTTCAGAGTAGCAGCCATGTTAGTCTGTATTTGCAAAAAGAAAAGGAGGACTTGTGGCACCTTAGAGACTAACCAATTTATTTGAGCATGAGCTTTCGTGAGCTACAGCTCACTTCATCGGATGCATTCAGTGGAAAATACAGTGAGGAGATTTATATACACACAGAACATGAAAAAATGGGTGTTATCATACACATTGTAAGGAGAGTGATCACTTAAGATGAGCTATTACCAGCAGGAGAGCGGGGGGGGAAGGAAACCTTTTGTAGTGATAATCAAGGTGGGCCATTGCCAGCAGTTAACAGGAATGTCTGAGGAGCAGTGGGGGGTGGGGAGGGAATAAACATGAGGAAATAGTTTTACTTTGTGTAATGACACATCCACTCCCAGTCTCTATTCACGCCTAAGTTAATTGTATCCAGTTTGCAAATTAATTCCAATTCAGCAGTCTCTCGTTGGAGTCTGTTTCTGAAGTCTTTTTGTTGTAATATTGCGACCTTTAGGTCTGTAATCAAGTGACCAGAGAGATTGAAGTGTTCTCTGACTGGTTTATGAATGTTATAATTCTTGACATCTGATTTGTGCCCATTTATTCTTTTACATAGAGACTGTCCAGTTTGACCAATGTACATGGCAGAGGGGCATTGTAGGCATATGATGGCATACATCACATTGGTAGATGTGCAGGTGAACGAGCCTCTGATAGTGTGGCTGATGTGATTAGGCCCTATGATGGTGTCCCCTGAATAGATATGTGGACACGGTTGGCAACGGACTTTGTTGCAAGGATAGGTTCCTGGGTTAGTGGTTCTGTTGTGTGGTTGCTGGTGAGTATTTGCTTTGGGTCGGGGGGCTGTCTGTAGGCAAGGACTGGCCTGTCTCCCAAGATTTGTGAGAGTGATGGGTCGTCCTTCAGGATAGGTTGTAGATCCTTGATGATGCGTTGGAGAGGTTTTAGTTGGGGGCTGAAGGTGATGGCTAGTGGCGTTCTGTTATTATCTTTGTTGGGCCTGTCCTGTAGTAGGTGACTTCTGGGTACTCTTCAGGCTCTGTCAATTTGTTTCTTCACTTCAGCAGGTGGGTACTGTAGTTGTAAGAATGCTTGATAGAGATCTTGTAGTTGTTTGTCTCTCTCTGAGGGGTTGGAGCAAATGCGGTTGTATCATAGAGCTTGGCTGTAGACAGTGGACCTTGTGGTGTGGTCTGGGTGAAAGCTGGAGGCATGTAGGTAGGAATAGCGGTCAGTAGGTTTCCGGTATAGGGTGGTGTTTATGTGACCATCGCTTATTAGCAATGTAGTGTCTAGGAAGTGGATCTCTTGTGTGGACTGGTCCAGGCTGAGGTTGATGGTGGGATGGAAATTGTTGAAATCATGGTGGAATTCCTCAAGGGTTTCTTTTCCATGGGTCCAGATGATGAAGATGTCATCAATGTAGCGCAAGTAGAGTAGGGGCATTAGGGGACGAGAGCTGAGGAAGCGTTGTTCTAAGTCAGCCATAAAAATGTTGGCATACTGTGGGGCCATGCGGGTACCCATAGCAGTGCCACTGTTTTGAAGGTATATATTGTCCCCAAATGTGAAATAGTTATGGGTGAGGACAAAGTCACAAAGTTCAGCCACCAGGTTTGCCGTGACATTATCGGGGATAGTGTTCTTGACGGCTTGTACTCCATCTTTGTGTGGAATGTTGGTGTAGAGAGCTTCTACATCCATAGTGGCCAGGATGGTGTTTTCAGGAAGATCACCGATGGACTGTAGTTTCCTCAGGAAGTCAGTGGTGTCTCGAAGATAGCTGGGAGAGCTGGTAGCGTAGGGCCTGAGGAGGGAGTCTACATAGCCAGAGAATCCTGCTGTCAGGATGCCAATGCCTGAGATAATGGGGCATCCAGGATTTCCAGGTTTATGGATCTTGGGTAGCAGATAGAATGCCCCAGGTCGGGATTCCAGGGGTGTGTCTGTGCGGATTTGATCTTGTGCTTTTTCAGGGAGTTTCTTGAGCAAATGCTGTAGTTTCTTTTGGGAACCCTCAATGGGATCAGAGGGTAATGGCTTGTAGAAAGTGGTGTTGGAGAGCTGCCTAGCAGCCTCTTGTTCATATTCCAACCTATTCATGATGACGACAGCACCTCCTTTGTCAGCCTTTTTGATTATGATGTCAGAGTTGTTTCTGAGGCTGTGGATGGCATTGTGTTCTGCACGGCTGAGGTTATGGGGCAACTGATGCTGCTTTTCCACAATTTCAGCCCGTGCACGTCGGCGGAAGCACTCTGTGTAGAAGTCCAGGCTGTTGTTTCGACCTTCAGGAGGAGTCCACCTAGAATCCTTCTTTTTGTAGTGTTGGTTGGAAGGTCTCTGTGGATTAGTATGTTGTTCAGAGGTGTGTTTGAAATATTCCTTGAGTCGGAGACGTCGAAAATAGGATTCTAGGTCACCACAGAACTGTATCATGTTCGTGGGGGTGGAGGGGCAGAAGGAGAGGCCCCGAGATAGGACAGCTTCGTCTGCTGGGCTAAGAGTATAGTTGGATAGATTGACAATATTGCTGGGTGGGTTAAGGGAACCACTGCTGTGGCCTCTTGTGGCATGTAGTAGTTTAGTTTAGATGTGCTTCCTGGCGCAGCTCTGCACTGCCCCCTATGCAGAGTAGGGCATAAATGTCAGGATCTAGCTCAGGATAATTTTTAAAAATACAATGAAGGCCAAAGTTATGACTGAGATTTTCAAAGCCACCAGCAGGAGCTGCATGTTAAATTCTCCCATTGGCTTTGAAAATCCATGGACTTTCCATATTCAAAACTCCCATTAACTGCAATGGGATTTTTGCACAAAAATTATGGTAGAACATGGCTCAGAATCAAGATTTTTAATCCTTCATATTTTGCTTTCTGATTAGAAAACAGAAGTTAACAAAAATGCATGTTGTAATAAAGAAAATAAGATGAAAATTAGAGAGATCACTATTAAAAATATTTTAAAACCATGTCTCTGTGCCTTTTTTTAAAAGTCCAGTTAAAGAAAACTCAAAAAACAAAATTAATAATATTTTCTTACATTATTCACATCCTGAATGTGAAAACAAGAAATGTAAGACCAAGACCTTACTATTAAAAAGAAAGGAAACTTTATGCTTAAATTTCTATTAATTAATTTCAGGCCACATTCTAATACTCTTTTTTATTAAAAAGAACCTTCCTCTAGGAATGATCCCACTGAAATCAAAGGGGCTACTTGTGGAGTAAGGTACTACTCAAAATGACTAAGAATATCAGAATCTGGCCCTCAGGAGTAAGTTGAGTTTTCTGATGGGTCTAGATCATTCTTGCAGGGGAAGAAAGCAGTAAAAGTGAAAAGATAAAGCTTTATTGCCAGAGAGTACTTTAGAATTTCACATAGGGAAATGTTTCTTTTTGGGGTGACAAGAGCCAGACTTAGGGTTGCTTCTACCAAAGTTGTGGAGAGTATCTACAGCAGGGGTATTTCTAAACAGAGTGCATCATACACAGGAGAGCTCTTAACTGTGGAAGGGGACGAGGGGGAAGGGAAGTATGAAACTCTGGTCCTGTGCAGAGTGTGTGAGTGCGTAACCTGAGGAGAAACCACCCAGGGACCACAGTAATGTTATGGTACAAGAAAGTCATGGTGTAAGAGTTCTCTGCCTGGAGAATAGGAGTGCAACATATAAAAGTGATCTTTACAGGAGGAGGGGGGGAATAAAGGGGAAGCTAGCTGCATGTGAGAGCAAGAGTAAACGGTGTTGGGCACTTAAAGGGGAAGTGCCAGCAAAGCCCTGTGGCACATAGAGCATGTTTCTATTTTGCTTCAGTGTGAAAGTTGTATCTTAACATTAAACAAATTTAAAAAGAGATAAGACAAACTCATTATAATGTATTATGGTCCATTAATAGCTCTCTACTTCCTACAAAACACTCATTACTGTGTATATTGCAAATATTAGAAAATCGGCTATTCTATTTATTGGAGTGTGGAGGCAAGCTCATTAGTTTCCCTGAGAAATAAAGCTTCTTAATGTCAATATCTTCCTTTATTTCCTTTCTCTCTAATGTATATTAGTATAAAATAAACTCTTATTAGTAGTATAAAATATATTATTAGAGAGATAATCTTTGGCTTAGGTTCTGCAGTCATAAAACAGAAATATTTACGTTTAGTCGTTTGAGATGGAGAAACTTCTGGGGATAAAATGCAAGACTGATGTTCTGGCACTAGGCATTCCTGTGCAGGTTCCTCCAAAATGGTTGCATTTCCTGTTTTTATGTACTCTGTAATTAAAAACACACACCACAAGTCTTAAATACATCTTTTTTCTAACCAAAAATAAGTCAACTTTTTTTCTCATGAAAAGGTATTTCTGTTTTTCAGTTTCCCATGCACAATTGACTGCTGTGCAGTGTTATTTATTTTAAATATTATAAAGCATCATAATGGCCAGCCAGTCACCTCATTTAATTTGCTGAAAATATTAAAATCTCGTTTTAGAATTAATCAATTCTGGCTTCTGCAATGATTTTTTTCTCTCTCTCTCTGTTTAAAATGCACATATCAAATGCTCTATTCTGTTATTATTGTTGAAAGACATTTTTCAATCTTTGTTTCTTAAACTGATATTTATTTTTATTAAAATTAGCTAATGAATGTAAAAAAATTATATTGCTTATTAATACTTTGGCGATCAAATATGCCATGTTACATGCACATGCACGCTCAACATCCTCCTAAACTTTATTTTAGCTGGCAGTCTAGAAAATGCAGTATTCTAAACGTTAACTTCTTGATTTGATCCATACCCTTTCCTCCTTCCAATCTCTCCTCAGGAATCAACTCTGCTTAAATGCTTATAAGAGATCAGCCAGTTTATTATAGCTAGAATGATGATCAGACGAAGCCTGATTTAATTTATTATAACAAATATGTAAATGTACATATTGTATATAGTTGATTGTCTTAATACATGTTTGCACACTGCCTAGCACAATGAGATACTGATCCTGAATGGGGCCTCTCTGTGCTATTGTAATACAAACATTAAATAAGAACAATACATAATAAGTTAACTTGTGCTACATGACTTCGTTTTTCTAAGTGATTCAGTTTAGACAAAGATAGTTTAGACTTAGTTTAGACAAAGATATTTTGACTCCTCACCCTTTTGGTTTCGTGTTATCTGCTTATGCAGACACTCTAATAACAAGAGGAGATAATTGTACGTATAGTAACATATGGGAGAGAACCACAAGAAGTTAACTCACTGGTATCTCACTTGTAGTGTGGGCAGTTATTCTATAAATCAATAACTGGCTTATTTCCTTGACAGTGAAATCTTCCCAAGCTGTTTAATATCCATGGTCAGCAACATATTAATTTAGCCTGGTTATGAAGTTTAGTAATAACAACAATAATAATAATGTAAATAATAAAACTCCACATTAAAAATAATCCTCTGTGGCAAAGACTGGGATAAGCAAGGAAACAATATATGCCAAGTAAAGCATCTTATCTTTCAGAATTCTTTGAAGAGTTTTACAACTGTATGTTTCCTGGGTGACATTTATAAACTCTCTTGACTAGCAATTTTCTCCTGGCTGGACTTTCATATGTTCCCCTTTTTTATAGAATGAGGGTGTGATGGGGTATACAAACCCCACAGTGAGCAACAAGGAGTTAAGGCACTGCTCTGGGCTCAGTCTGCCCTGCCCTACCACACCAGCAGAGATGCACAAACTGGAGAAGTTAGAAGGGAGCAGAAAAGCTCGCTTGTGGTCAGACCAGGGAAGAGAAAGGATATCTACCTTGCAGCTTGTGAGAAAAGAGCTGAGGGAAGACAGAAGCTCTCCCCTCAACAACTGCCTGAAGGTCTCTCTGATGGAAGAGATGACCTGCTTCTGTTATGCTCAGAGAGGGAGGCATTCCCCGCATCTACTAATCAAGTTTATTTGTGTCGGCTTCCTGTGTTTTGTTTATGGACTACCCCGGAAGGGGAGAGACTTGGAAATGATCTGGCCGTAGTGCCGAGGCATGAGAGGAAGCAGCCACCACCCCAAGAGGGAGAGAGCTACTATGCCATGCCCAGCTGTTCAAAGGTGCCAAGTGATGAGCTGTCCCCCTTCATAGCCTCCTGTTACAGATTGTGAACTTTGGACAATAGGATGTGGTAGGAAGTGGCACAGGGATAGCAGCTTTAAGGTGCTCCTGGGTGTCAGACCCATCTGTTGCCTTCACAGGGCCCTGGGCCAGAGCCTGATGGAGTGGAAGGGCCCAGGCTCACCTATCAAACCCTCCCTCTGCATATCAAAGGGTCTAAGGCCTGACCAAGTGAAGGCCATCACAATGGGAAACATAACAAGTGATAATACACTCTGAAATCCATCTTGATAGTCTCTTTGTAGAAATAATGGATCCCTTAGATCTGTCCACAATGGAGATAAATAGTCTAGGAGACTCCCAAAATGATTTGGTCCTATCTGAATAGAAGGCCAAAGCTCTTCTGGCATATAAGGTATGCAAAGAAGCTTCCTGTCCTGAGCTACGAGGTTTTTTGGGGGGAAATGGGTCTGGTTTAGATGAAATTCAGATGACTCCTTAGGTAGGAATTTAGGGTGTGGACATAGGGAAATCCTGTCCTTGAAGAATACCGTAAGGGAGGATCAGCTATCAACACCCTAATTTCTCTAACTCTAAGAGCTGAGGAATAGCTATTAACAAGGCAATATTCCCAGACAGGTTCAGTAAGGAACAGATTGCCATTGGTTCAAATGGAGGTCTTGTGAGACCTCTGAGAACTAGATTAAGATCTGATGAAGTGAGCTGTAGCTCACAAAAGCTTATGCCCAAATAAATTTGTTAGTCTCTAAGGTGCCACAAGTACTCCTTTACTTTTTGCGAATACAGACTAACACGGCTGCTACTCTGAAAACTGGAGTGGGAGTCTTCACTTAAGGGAAGAGGTTCTTCAGACCTCTAATGAACCTTACAGTTGTAGGTTGAGAAAATGCTGAAAACCCTTCAACTAGAGAATGAAAAACTGTTGTCACAGCCAAATGAATCTTGATTAAGCTACTTGATAAACCCGTTTTATTCAGTTGTATCAGATAATCCAGGATAAGTGAAAGTGAAGTGCAACTTGCTGATTTTCACACTAATAGTTATATCTTTTCCACTTCTGAAAGTAAATATTATGGGTAAATTTTTTTCTGCTGTTTAAAAATACCTGCTGTACGTCTTCAGAACAGGTAGATTCTATCCCTGCAAACCACTGAGGAGCCACACCTGGAAACAGAGAATTTATAGGTTGGGATGAAGTACTTGGCTGACGGCCTGGTAGAGGAGACAAGGGATGCACAGAAGATTGATCACCAGACAAGGAGACAGTTGAAACAAGTAAGGGTACCATGTCTGTCTTGGCCTTGTTGCGACTATTAGGATAACCCTGGCTTTATCCTGCCTGATCTTGTTCATCACATTTAAAATTAGAGGCAATGGGGGAAACATGTAATACAGACCCTTCAACCAAGATAGAAGGAAGGTATCCCCCAAGAAATGGGGGTCTCAATCCCCTCTTGAACAGAACAGATGGCACTTCCTGTTTGTGGCAGTGGCAAAGAGGTCCACTTGTTCAAAATATGTCATCTAGTATTCATGGATCCAATTCCCATTTGTAGTCCTGGGAGAAGTGCCAACTGAGAACACTGGCCAGGGAGTTTTGCACTCTGGGAAGGTATATTGCTGAAATGCGAATGTGATGGACTATGCACCAATTCCATATCTTTACTGCATTGACACACAGAGAGGTGGATCTTGCTCTGCCTTGCCTGTTAATATAAAACATGCAGGCTACATTGTCTGTCATGACTTCAATAAACTTTCCTCTAATGAGAAGCTGGAAATGAAGACAGGCACTCCTGACTGTCTTTCATTTCAATAGGTTGATGTGAAGGCTGGCCTCTTGAGATGACCAAGGATGCCTTTATGAAATGTATTTTCTGTACTGGGGTTAATATGGATTTCTCTATATTGAGCTGGAGTCCTAACCGTGGAAACAAAGAAAGGCCTTCTGGGTGGCTCATTCACTGCCTCAACCACCTGAGAATTAGGTGTGAGATGGGAGAACAGAAATTCATAGTCCTTGTTGGGGACATTATATTTTTTGCCAGATCTCTTCCAAATTGGTTGTACTGTTGCTGGGATCTGCCAAACCATGTTAGCAGGAACCAGAAGTTCCTCACGGATCAGACAGGTAACTCTGGTAGGTGTTACTGACTGGAGGATATCCAATAAAAAACAGTTGTTCTGTAACTGTTGTTCTTTGAGATGTGTTGCACATGTCCATTTCACCCTTGGTGTCTGTGTGCCCAGAGCATGGCAATTGGAAACTTTTTTTCTCTCAGTGGTACCTGTTAGGTAGCTTAAGTTCCCCCTGCTGGTGTGCACCACTGCATGCAGGTATAAAAGGCAGAGCTACCTCTAGCCCCTCTCAGTTCCTTTTTGCCATAACTACGATGTAGAACGGTACAGGTTGTGGAATGGACATGAGCCACATATTTCAAAGAACAACAGTTAAGGAACAGGTTAGTAACTGTTTTTAATTCTTTGAGTGACTGCACATGTGCATTCCTCTCTTGGTGACTAACAAGCCATAGAACAGGAGGTGGGATCAGAGTCTATTTCAATAAAGATTGGAGAACAGCTCATCCCACCCTAGATTCGTCTCTGAAGTCTTGAGTCACAACACAGTGGGAGGCAAATGTTAGGACTGAGGGTCAGATTGCTCACAGGAAACCACCTTGGGAGGAACTTCGGATGAGAAGGTAGGCAAACCTCATCCTTAAAGAAGATTGTATACAGAGGTCCTGACATTAATGGCTGCAGCTCCCCCATACTTCCAGCTAAGCTACCAGAAAAGCCACTTTCATTGGTAGAAGCGTCAGAGAGCAGGTATCCAACAGTTCAAATGGGGGACTCATAAGTCTTGACAATACTAAGTTTAGAACCCAAAGGGGAATGTGGTCTTGTACGTGAGGGCATAATTTGATTCAGCCCTTTAAAAATCTTATGGACATTGGAGAAAATAAAGCAATTGTCCACCTTAGGATGGAATGCTGAAATAGCAGCCGGATGTACCTTGATGGAACTAATCGCCAAATGCTGGTGTTTAAGGTATAACAAGTAATCCAGAATATGTTGAACTGAAGAACTGGATGTTAATACCCCATATTGATGAGCCCAGATGGAGAAATGCTCCGTTTAGCAAGGTAAGTCACTCTTG